TTTTTTTCTGCTGTAAAGTTGGGCATTTTAATATGGGGCCTTATGGAGATTGACTCACTTTTGCAGCCAGCTGCCCAAAACTCCAGTTTCTGGCACTACTGTGGCCTTCATTTGCCCGCCACAAAGGCGAAAATATTCCTACCAGAGACTCCCTGTCTGTTGTGGCTGCACTATTTCATGAAATGGAAGTGTTCCTAATGTGCAAATTTTATTTACATTTGCCTTATTCAGCCCAGATTTTTGGCTGCACAACATGAGCCTGTAACAGGATATCAGTATCAGTGTAAATGTTATGACGTTGGAGGTATTGGTACTTTAAGTACAGCAATTTATATTACATGTATCTGCTGTTGTTACAGGGTGAGTTGTGTTTTTGAGATTAAGGTTTTAAATCTCACTTACGATACATTGCTGCTGATGATATATTCCGTATATGTGGATTAATAAACTTTAGAGCTCAGCCCTCTGTTCCAGCTATAACATAAAACTGCTGCTTCAATGAGTGAGTACCTCGCCTTTACTCTGTTGTTCCTCTCTCCAGGCTGGCTTCCTGAAGAGCCACCACTGTTACGAGATCGTCTTCATCATCCCTGATTGCGCCACACTGGGCAAAGAGCTCTCCAGTCTTCCTTCCTCCTCTCCGACCCGAAGGTCCTCCAGCCTCCGGGTCCATCGTATTAACTCCACGATGGAGGGTACGTCATAACAACACAAACACATGCATTTGTATAACTAGTATGTGTCCCTTACTTTATTATTTGATAGGTTATAGCTGATGTGATTGAGGGGTGGAGGTGCAACCTGTGGTCGTAACACACAACCACAGCTGTCACTGTCAGAGATGTGTAGCTGTGCACAGATGTGCTAAAGCTATTTCGCTGTTGGGTTTTCTGCCTAATGGTTAACCATGATGGCTTGCCAGGCTAGCTGAGATTGACTCAATGCCCCGTCTATCCGTCCACCTTGTCTTTAGTTTTACTCTGTTTCAGCAGAGTATTTTAACGACACTGACAGAGAGAAAAGAGACTGTGTGTAGTAGCTCTCTACAACACACACACATACCCAAACACACAATGGAAAATGTGAGCCGACCTTTGGTGGTTTCAGACTTGCCTGTTCTTGCTAACACATGTAGGTTTATGGTCAGATTACTGGCCTGATCATTGGTTACCAACAATATAACAAACATGACCATATATCCTAATAATCTAAGTTGTCCTGTAAATGTTTGCATTTTAGCCACTCGCTTAGATCGCCTACATAAACCTAGACCAACTGTTGGTAGGATAAACTGCATGACACTTGAAAGCAGGTTTACCAGATGCAAAGTGGAACTGACTTACACTGATCTTTCCAGCATTGAGTCTATATTTTCCGAAACTGTAAGCTGAATTCTCATATCTACATGCCTATTAATGATAACATGTCAGATCAGATTCATTTTCTGTGAAATAATATAAAATCTATTTGATATGTGGGCTTAAATAAATGTAGTCGACTTGCCCAAAACCACAGATGATATATCATTATTATTACTACAGTTACTATTATTAATATTATCACTGCTCATTGTCCCCCATCGTTGTTGCTACTGCTCTCCTTCTACGTCAAACCAAAGTCTGCGTCTGATTGGCTCGATAAGACTCCTTGCATGCAATTAAAATAAAAAGCTTGCATAAAATTGCAAGCAAAAAACTGTAAGTAAATGTATATGTAGGAAGTGACAAACCCTCTCCCTCCCCCTCTTTAGGAGGAGTGAAAGTAACCTGCGAGTACAGGACTCACCAGGAGGGAGTGCTGCAAGAGGAGATCACTCTGGTAACCAGAGGGAAAAGGGACAGCAGTCTGAAGGTCAGACTCCAGGCCAGGGTTATTGGTATGTGCGCGCACACACACATATACACACACACACACACACACACTCTCTAATTCTAAGCAGGTAATGATTACACAGTGTGTTCACTACTGGAAAGACATGTTAACTCTCACTTCAGGAAGTTTAATTGTCAGTGGCAATCCAAGGTTTTATTGACCTCTGTCAGGGCCCAACTTATGTAGATTTTTGATAGTGGAATAGAAAAGAAAGCCTGTATTGCCATTGTGTAGTCTACAACAAAATTAGGACAACACATTGAGCTTGCATTATAAGAAATGTGCTATATGAATAAATTTGACTTGACTTCCACAGAAGCACTACTCCTAATAAGTGTGATAAAAAAGACATAAGTAAAGGACATTATACAAACAAATATGTATATACAAGATATAAGCCCACTCAGGCTCCACTCAGTGTCCTGATATTGAAAGTAATGGGACAGAGGTGACAATGTTACATCAGCAAACTGATGAACACAGTGTTTTTTTCTCTTCATCGCTGTCTCTTCACCCCCTTTTGCACCCACCCCTTTCTCTTCCTCTGTCCAGACCCACATCATGGGACTCCCATGCTGCTGGAGGGGGTGAGGTGCCTGGGTGCACAGAAAGATGCCCACACAAAGCACAGCAGCGACCGTAAGAGGATATGATCAAAATATCTAATGTGTGTATACATATATATCTACAACAGTGCAGGGCCCAGAGTGGTAGTATGGAAACAGCAGAATGTGTTCCCCTAATTGGAAACAGCTTTATTTGACTGGGAAATAATGGGTCTGTGGTGTTTGCTATTATGGTATTCCAAATGATTTGTTGGAAAATAACAGGTCAATCATTTTTCACAATTTTCACAACAATCAAAACTGCAGACTCCAGCCTAGCATCACCAGACTAGATCGCAGATGTGTAGTAGTCTGGAACCTCTGAATTCATTTTGGATTTCCGAGGATTATATCAACAGAAGCATGCAAAAATACCTCTAGATACAATTGGATTGGTACTTGGTCTGTTTTCAAGCTGTACACATGACAGCCCTGTCACACATTTTCTCTAATTACCTAAACAGTACACTAAAATGTCTTTGAAAAGATAGAAAATAAGCAATGTATGAACAGAATTTTGATTCATACACTGTAAAACCAAATAAGTTAATTTAACTCAAATGTTGAAACCGACTACAAGTACCTTAAGTAATTTTAAGTGACAAAAAATGATACTGTGAAAACAAAATACAGAGTAAAAAGTTATTAATTAGGAATGTTTCCAAAACGTACAAAACTAAGTCACTGCTACTTAAAATTACTAGCAAAAGCAGCTTAATCAAGAATCTTTTTAGACCTAAAAAAATGAGTTTGTGTTACTTAAAAATTCTGATGTAATCGGTTTCAGCAGTTTTTTGAGTTAAATGAATTTAACTGGTTTACATTGTATTTTATCAGCACTGCCTACTTTGACAGTTTGAACTGAGTTTTGTGAGCCTTTGTGTTACCCTGGACGGACTTGCAGGCTGGACTGGATTGGATAGACCTACAACCAACCAGAGCAGCGAAATTTGTGACCTGTGACTTCAAATCTGGTCCGGTGACAATCCTCTGTCAGACCTGCCCCATATTAGACAAATGCTTGTGATTGGCCGACCAAATCCAGTACCAGTGGAAATCTGTCTGAATGGGAGGGGGGCCAAATGCATCTGCCAGAGCAAATGAAACATGAGCTCGCAGATTCGTCTGCTATCTAGGCTGAGGCTCTTCAGCAAGAAAGCTTAAATACCAGCAGCCTGCAGCTCTGGGTGAGCATTGGACAACTGCTGTCCAGTTTAGACAGCCATTAAGCCTCTTTTGTTGGAGGTAGAGTAAACCAGCACTTAACACTAGCCAGTTAACACATTACACACACACACACAAAGCCACTGCCTGGAAAAATAGTCAAATGATCAGCAACACACGTATAGTAGTAGACCATAAAGGTACTGCAAATAAATAGATTGTTATCCAGGAAAACTCTAATTTTGACTCATACTATTCTCTGTTCTTTATCTATGTGCACCTACAATAAAATCATCAAAACACAGTAGAGTATATTGGAATTCAAAATAAGTCAAACCTTTCACAGAAGAGAATTAGGGCCGTACTTGAAAAAGTATTTGAGTTCTGCCCAGATTAAATGAAAAATGACATATGGTACCTCTATTTAACAATGCATGCCAAAATATTTACAACAAAATTTAATATTAAAATCCAGTCATTTTTCTTCATCTAAAACAAAATGTGAACGTGATTACGTAAGCATGAACCAACCAATTTCAAACAACAATATCATGACATCCACCTGTCAATCAATCTACTTTTTGCAACACAGACAGACACACATACACATGTGTAACACAGCTGGCACCAGTTATTTTACTAATTGCACCTTACACCGTACCAGTACCATTCTCATTGTACTATTGATATATCGTGTGAAGGAAACTGATTCAACTTCAGTGAGGAGAGTTCATCTGGGGTCACTAAATCAAGTGCACCTTGGCAACATTGGCACTGTTTGCAATAAGAGTCTGTCTGTCATCACACTTTACTATGAGTAGCGATAAATGACAAAGAAGAGATTATGAGGATTTCCCATAACCACACTGTTGTATGTTTCTTTGAGTGTAGTTGGCAATTAAAACTGTATAATGTGGGACCATTGCATTGCCAAGTATGAAATAGCACGATACAGTTAAAATGTTTAACATGTCATCTTAAAAAATCAGAATGTGTTGTCCAAACACCATCTTTTAAGACGATGCGATATGAATTCTTGACTGTTTGTGGTGCAGAACACAATGTGAACTGAAAGAAAAAATCTTTCTGATTGCAGGAAACTGCATTGTTATCTCTTCTTCTTCTTCTTCTTCTTTTTCTTCTTCTTCAGATCTTTTATGACTAAGGAGTAGTCTGCATTTTTGGTTTTGGACAAAAATATGTATATGCCTTAAGTATCTTTTCTGTTGACATCAGTGCAGCCTTCTTGATGTGTATTATGACCGCTTACATCAGCAAATGATACAATATGTCACATGTAAGTTGTTTTAAATATTCTGTTAATGCTATAACAGAGAAAGAGATGGGAGAGTTTTCCGCTCTATTTGCATGATTTGTACTCTATCCCATGAAGTGTAACCAAATTAACTTTCCTGACCAAATAATTAAGACAGGCCAAGTGAATGATGGTCCTTTGTGGCAGCAGAAATAAATGTTTGTTTGTTTGTTTGTTTGTTTGTTGCTATACTGTATTTATTACATTGCAATGTCAGAAAAAGGGAAGTTTGGTACAAAATGTTAGTTATTAATTAAACGACTAATTTTTAACGACTGTGTATTTTTGGTAGATCATCAGCCCAATGCTAATCTCTATTAAGAGATATCTGCATAGATCCGCATCATAGTCAAGGGACCAAGACTATGGTGTCAGAAAATTGCCTATTGTCCCCAGAGGCTAAATCATTAGCCGATGGGTTCCAAGATTAGCTCCATGCTAACATTTTAGCATACTCTCTGTTGAGTAATACTCCATGCTAACCCTTTAGCACACAGTAAATTAAGTTATTGTTCATGAATCATTCCTAAAACTCAGTTGTGAAGACTAAAAATTGTACCTATTTATAATTAACCTATTAACAATGTCTTGTATTTTGTACTAAATATTGACAATCAAGTGTAGTTTCCTGACATGCAGTTAGCAGCTAGTTCAGTCAGTCTGCCCGTCAGTAACACTGGTGTGAGTTCAAGTAGCCTTTATTATCATTTGGGATCAGCAGTATACCGATGTTATAAGACAGTCAAGGTTGACAGCTCAGTACGGGTTATGAATATTCCATCACCTTTGAACACTGATGATTATTTTTGAACATGTACATTAGCAGTTTGCTATTACATATATACTTACTAAATTGATTCAAAGACCCCTGTTGGTCCCCTACCCCAGTTTGAAAATCCCTGATTTAGACCACTGACTAGCCGGGAGATTTTTTATCAGAATCAGAATCAGAATCAGAAATACTTTAATAATCCTGATTATTAAACGATTATTTTAGTGACTACTTACATTTTTATGTTACAAATTACACACAATTAGTAATTTTCCTCAGATTGTTTAACACTAGTGGCAGTTCAGTAAAGCTTAGTTGAGGCTATTAGGATTCATAGGAACACTTTTACTCAACAAAAGTAGTGGAAAGTGTTGAAATGGAGCTCTAACGCCCATCATCCACCAAAGACATTAATTTGACGATACTTAATTCATTTCCTGTTTAAACACTGTTGATTGTGGATATGCAGCCTGCAATGTGTTGATATGTGCTGCTCTGTTGTCTGACTCTGACCTGCCACCACACAGTATGTGTCCCCTTGTACTTCCATCCATGTCCATCAGGACTGTATAATTTGTCTGTTTACCTGAATGTAAATAAAGTATCATCTCACGTGTACAAAGTCATCAGTTGAATTTATATTGCATATAGGTAAGAGTAAATGTACATTTACTGTTTTAAATGTAGTGCTACCTTAAGAGGAACTTTTAAGAATATTTTTTGGATAAAGCAGTAACAGATCCGGATTCATATTTGATCAGCACTGCCAAGTATGACAGTTTGATCTGAGTTTGGTGCGTTGAGCTGGACGGACTCACTGAGAATGAGCTGTCAATCACAAGGTACCCCGCCTAAAGCATACCCTGCTATACTTGTCTAATTTTACTCTAAAAATGGGACATCAATATTACTAAATAATCATCATGCTGTATGGAAGAAGACTGACACTAGAGATTGAGACCATAAACCAGAAAACTGTTTAGTGAGCTTATAAATCAAGTCAGAAGTCAGCTCATTTCTCCATAAGACTGCATGGTATCTGTTTTTTCTTTGCAGCCAATGGACCTGTCCCCTGCTGGGCTTTACATGAAATGAATGGTTTAAGACACTTCAAGTGGCCCTCGTATGAGATGACAATACTTGCAGTGGGTATAGTTGGATATTTACTGTTGCTAATGTGACCGTAGAGATAATTTGTTGGTGCTGCAGAGTCACCCATATGTAGGGTAACTTTTGTACTATTGCATATATTGTCACTGTTCGTATAGCCCTGTTATGTGTTTAATAGACATTCTTTAAATCAAAAATCCAGTCTGGATCTGTTTTTGTTCTCTGTGTGCCTCCCTTGGTGCATTAAGAACAAGGTTGAAATCATAACACATCCCATACCTGCTTAAGATTAATACTACAAGTTGATAATTCTTTAGCAGCCAGCAAGTGTAGTCGTCTTTCAGTGTAATAAAACTTTGTTAGTGTGCTCCACACATCTGACAAAACTGACAATACCTAAAAGTATTTTATAAATTCAAGAAAGCTAAGGCAACCCTGCTTCCTTATTAGGCTATGATCTGTCTGAATGGCACAGTGCTTTCTCTTCATGCCACTCATACTGCAGTGCTTTAAACCAGATCTCTGCCTCTCTCTCGCTCTGTCCCCTGTGACGAAAATAGACACACCCATACACAAACAACCTAGCCATTCCCGGAATTAAAATCTGGAGTGATCCGATGTTGTCCACAAGGCAGACGTGTTAAGCAACTGAGCATTATCGAAGTTGTGAAACAATGGCATACATGAACTAGGAAGTATTAATACAAGGCAAAGAAATCCACTGGGACCTGAGAGGTAAGAAATCCAGCACAATCCAGTACTTTTACATAGAAAATCTGACTGTCAGCCATCTCTTTGACTGTTTTTACCCTTTCGTGAAATTACTTTACTGTGACTGGTGTTTCTGTGTGTGTGTGTAGGTAAAAGCAGCCCTATTCTGCTTCGCTTTTGCATAATGTAGGCTGAGGCACTAGAAGCCATTTGTAAGCTAACCATGATAGCAACTTTAGCACTCCACCAGCTAAATCAGATTAATATTCTAACATTGTTAAATATAACCATTTGCTCTACCCCAAGTGCTTGTCATTAGTTTGAAAAGGTGTTTTTTTGCTGATTGCATCACCATTTAAATGATTCTGTGGTATCTTGAGGAGCGTTCTCACATACTCTAGGCTCAGTTGAAGATACTCCACTTTTGAAAGATCTTGCGTGCTCTGCACTTTGTTTTCTCAAACCCAGCAAAATGGAAAATGTCCTCTCTGCTGTTTGATTGTGCCCTTTGGAATGCAGATAGACTGGCTAAGGTGGGCCATGCACTTAAAGGAAGTACTAGTGAGAAAAGAAAAACATTGTGGACTCGTAAATGCTAATACATTATTTTATAGACCATGAATTAATGTTAGTTGTGACATGTATTTGTAATAGTAATATAGATGTGTAAACAAAGAGACTATACCAATACTTTCATGCGTGTAAACATGCTAAAAATACTTGGTGAGGACAGGTTTGTTCTTGTCTCTGTATGAGTTGGTGGTAAAGTTGCTCATATTTTATTGATTTGATTGAAAAGTATAAACATTTCACTGTCTGGGAATAGATAGACTCTGCAAGCACAGGCACAGCTTGTGAACAGGCAAGGCTCAGGGCCTCAGGCCATTAGGGGTCCTACCGGTGCCTGAAATGGGCCAGTACTCACCAGTACTGAGTACCAGCACTAACCCTAACCCTTCTTATTGAGTACCACCACCTCTGGTGAGCATGTCCCGCCGTTGATGTCACCGGTATTTTTCCGAGGCTATACAATAAAAGTTGTTGTAAAAATAACTACTTTGACACTTTAATGCCCCTAAACGTCCCTAGCAAGTAGCAGCACCCTGACTCTGACTGGAATGGAACGGAGCCAGAATTAGTATTTAATTAGTACTGCTGTGAACAAGGTCTATTGGGCAAAATTCCACAATAACCTTTCAGCATATTGTCAATCAAGAGAAGACTAGACTTATGCGCCACCCCTTGACTCTGTTTTCAGGCTTTAGAAAATCTAGTCTTGCAGCTTACTTTAACTGCTGTTGCTAAGAAATGCCACTCCCCAACAAACAATAAGATAAAACCATAAATGGTTTGACCTGGTTTCATATGAGTTATTTTTACCTCTGCACTGCAGGAGATTATGAAAAGCAAGTCAGTGAGGCCAGTCCACACCCTCATGACGGAGCAGAGATGGATGCCAAGCAGAAGAAGCAAACCAGCTCTTCAAGCTGTCTCTCTATGAAGAGTGACTTCTCCAAAGACGACCCTCCGTATTTCAGCGAGGAAGAGCGGTATGTTTATAATTAGGCTGAACCCTGCCACTTGAAGGGAGGAAATTCTTTCTAGCAATTAACATTTAAGTCTGCAAAAGAAAAAGCAGCAGAGATTTTAAGATGTTGAATGGTTTGTGGCACTGACTAAACGCTGACTCGAAGACTTGCCAATTCAGTCCATCCACATAAGAAGTCCCTCTGGAATGCTTCTGGTTATCCCCATTAATGCAAATGTGTCCAAGTGGGGCTGGCATTCTCATCATTATCTTCTTGTAACTGTTGGCCTGAAGTGCCCTCAGTATCATAGATTCTCAAATGTGACATGAAATGCACGCATTATGATTATTATTAATCATCCCTGGCCCATTTCAATTATCTCCCTTTCAATAGCCTACATTTAAAGGTCCAGCGTGTAACATTTAGTAGGATCTATTGTCAGAAATGGAATATAATTTTCATAAGTAGGTTTAATTAGTTTATAATTACCTGAATATAGGAATCAGTGTGTTTTTGCTAACTTATATATTAGTTATTAATTTTCATTTACAGAAGCCGATCCACGGCTTCCACAGAGTTTAACCACCATGTTTCTACAGTAGCCCAGAACGGACAAACCAAACATGTCATGGATTTTTCGGGAGTTTCTGCCTTATCTTCAAACATTTTCCATTAATTGTATGTATGAAGAGAACTGAATAGAGTTTTGGAGGACACTGTCCAAATGTTATCAGACCGAATAGAAACAGAATCAGAATCAGAAATACTTAATTGACACCCGGGGCGAAATATGTTTGTTACAGCTGCTTAAGGTGCTTACGCGACATTAAAGAATACAAATAATAATTATATTACAATATCTAACAATATATTTGGGAATAAAAATAGAAATGTATATATCGGTACATACATATAAAATAAAAATAAAATAGAAAAATTGTAAAAAATAATAAAAGTCTAAGATAAGATAAGATAGACTTATTACTGATTGAAAAACGTCCTTTTAAGAGGCAGAAAC